ATGCAGCTTGTCCAGACATTCAGAAACAATGCCCACATCACTGCTCTCTACAGTTGGTCCTCTCCCTCAAAAGCCTAGAGAAAAGCTATTTTTTCCCTTCTGCTCCCTGCTGGCTTTCCGGCTCTGTTGTCTCCTTCCCTTGAAACAACTTCACACTGGCTTCCTCATGGCCTCCCTTCTCCCAAACAACTTCCCGTCTGCTCCTCTGTTCCCTCCCCATTTCTGCTGCTGTCTGCCTGCACAGGAGCAACTCCCATCCAGTTTCCTTTGCTGGATCTCCGCACAGAAAAGGCACCAGGTGACCACACAATTGGGATGCGATTAAAGAAAGCTGATAAAATTGTGTCTGCCTGATTGGCCTGACTAAAAAGCCTGTAGTCCTGGCACACAGAAACTCACTGGTACCAAAGGGTTCTGGTTCCTGTAATGCCTGTAGCATCCACGTGGTCCAAATAAACACTTGAAATATTGGCACTGCTTGCTAATGCCTATACAGGCTTCCCAAAGTGGATTCTCTTCCTCACAGTCAGGCGAAAAGAGACTGAGGCAGCCTTAGCAACTACCATGATGTTAGCTGTTAACCAAGATAGCCATTCTTTAGCAACAGACAGTTAATTCTCTTTTGCCATCTATTAACCCCCCAAAAAACATTAGGCTAATCTACTAGCTATACAAGGGAATAATAAGGGACAAGTACTGCTACCAATTTTTCTGACTATAGTGCAGGACATAAGATCCCACCAAATCCGAAAGCCCCACTACCGATAAGCATCAAACTGTCTATTTTCAGCAGCAACTTTATGGGATCAAAACCTTTACTTAAAATGAACAGAGATCAGTTCTAAATTTATCCCAAACATCTGAATGTGACGATGGCAAAAATGTGTTATGCCAACAGAATTAGGAGACATCTTGAAAAATATTTAAGATTATAATAATTAAATGGTATTTCTACTTCGTTTTCCAATTATACCATGTACTGTTCTGTGCACAACATGGAAACAGTATTATAAAGCTATTGTTTCAGTTTGCTTCCTGTGATACTAATCTCAATCAGGCCGTCAGACGAACAGCCTGCATTTCTAAATGTTAAAGGCTTCCTCTCCAACATTCCCACACAGAATTGCCTACTGTGAAAATCAAAGGGAAACATGTTACTAAGTAAAGCAGCAACTTTTATAAAGCAGAACCTGGTATTTTTTACCCTTTTGAACTCTGAGATATACAACCAGCTATTTCCTATTATGATAGGACACAAGGGCCAAGCTTGGACCCTGCAATGCCTGCAGGAGACATGCACCCTGCAATCCAGAAGCCGGGATTTTCAGAGGCACGTAGCAGGAGAGCTCTCAATGAGGGCTCAGATTCACGGGCTCTGCCATTCACCTGCTGTAAGAATGTGGGCATAGATTTCCCTAGGTCTTGGCTTCCCGACAGATAAATAATCATTATGCAGACAGAGCTAGTAAAACAGCCTGAGTTACACAAGTGAAAAGCACTATTCCGAGTCGGGGAATAATAGGAAGGGGCATGAGACACTCAATGCCAGCGAACTGGGGCTGGCAAGTTGCCTACAGCCGTCTCTGAAATCCCATCTGGAGCACCAGCTTGCAGAAAGCTGAGGATGCAGTCCTGGGAAGGCCCTTGCTCTCTCTGCTCCCAGCAAAACTGCCATGAAAATGAAGAGATGCCTTCATGTTTGAGAATTGTGTCCACAAACAGTAATATAAAATAAAACCCAGGGTACCAGTAGGTTTTGATCGAATAAATAAATAAATAAATTAACAAAAATGCTAATCAAGTGGTACTTTTTTCTTCGCTGCCTTTTGATGTATTTTTCAAGCTGCACTGCAAGCTTATTTTAGTGACACTGTATACATACAAATGTTATTTTAATGCCACAATTAATGACAGAACAAATACTCTCACTTAACTCCAGTTTACATTAAGTGTCTAGCCCAAATAATCAAAACTGTTTCCATGAAGACAACATAAAGCAAACGGGGTGGGTGTCTGCAGGCTGGGGCAGGCATTTGCTTGTCATGCATGCTGGAGTCCTCCACCTCCCCATTTCCCAGTTCACCTGGGAAAGA